TACCGCCTACTTCTTATCGATACGGCTATCGATAAGAATAGAACACCGCCTACTATTCTCGAAGCTCTTCCACTGGATGCTTTTGGCAACAGCGACCCATATGGTATACCGCCTACACGACTTGCCATAATTGTATATACCTTCGAAATGGACAAAACCATCTTCTTACCACGCTACGCAGCATCATGCGCTACAGAAATTGGGATGTCCTTCTATTTCCGGAAGGTTCAAAGGTTCCTATCCAAGAGTTTAAGACACAATGCTTCGTGACCAAGGACAAAGACTCGCCCTGTCTACACAGTGCAATTTTCCTTGGCCATCATGCCCATCATCCCGAACCAGGCCTTTTTAACCAGCTGCCAGTTCTCACAACATTCATCCCGAGTATGCCCAAAGACAGTCCATTCCAAGTTTCAGTTCATAGTTGGGAGAAGCCACGCCCCAGCGTCCAGATCGAGTCCAATATGGAACCTGAGGACGTTTTACTCTTCGAGGTTCGGATCTTCATTGATGGAATTTTCGCTGCGTGAGTTTACAATCTATGCACCCTGACGATGATGGGATTGAGCTGATTATTTCCAGGGGTAGTATTTATGGACAGAGAACTGTTTGGCCACAGATAATGGGTAAGTTGGGTGCGCTTATGTCGGCGTAACGTGGTTCTTGAAAATTTCTCCTCGGCTGCCTGAATTCGTCTTTTCCTATCTTGTTTTCCACTTCAATAAATAGCTACTGACTCATTTTGGCAGATCTGAGTTCTAGTATGGATTTATTCCTTGCCTCTTTCTTTGATTACAACCTCTTACAGTCCAAGCAGATCTTGACCGAGATGGAAACCAAGACGCCCTTCGATTCCCTCAATTTCATTCTGAGATACTACAACAGAAGCATTGGGATGCCGGGGACTCTCAAGGTAGAATCAAGATTGTCATTGCAGAAGGTTTCTCCCGCCCCAATCGCTCACCCCCATTCGAACGATACAAACATGTCATCGCTTTTTCTTTCCAACATGCGCCACTAGATGTGTTGGAATTCTCCGACATTGCTTGGCCCAATCCCAATATGTGGCTTGTCATGCCGCCGAACGCCTCCCGGTATGGGCCGGCAGCGAGATATGGTACCTCCAAGATAGTTGGCGATGGCGCCCATGGGCATTCGCCAAGCAAGCCCAGTAGACCCGAACATCGAATTACAATCACGGCTAACACGAGTAGTCAGATTAGCAGCAACGCAGCTACTTACAGTGGCAGTAATTCATCAACTCACAATGCTTGGACCCCTAATCGTGGATTTCCCATCCCTTCCACACAGTGGAATGGCTATGCACAAGAGCCTCGATGGGACCCGCAGGATGCCTACATCGTGGAACCTGCAATGGACGCCTTCATTGTTGATGATAGAGCATGGCGGCAGCGTGGCGCTCGATCTTCCCGCGAAGACATCCCAATGCCCGATTATGCCTCTACCGGATCGACCAGCAGCCGGGCCATCTCTTCCAGCATGACTGGGATGAGTTACGAACACAGCAAGCAGCCTAGCATCACTTCCTATCTTGATGATGAGCAATACAATGAGCTGATCCAAGCTCTGACACCAACGAAGGCGCCTCCAGTGGGTACTCGCGCACCCTCCAACACTCCATCCACTGCCGCCACCGCAATTTCTGCCTCAAAGCCTTCGGCTGCAGCCGAAGCTAGATCTGCGGGCTACAAGACTCGAAGCCGGCGTGCATCCGCACTCAGAGAGCTGTCGCAACCAAGCACCCGTCATGTTTCGGGATCGAGCGAGCCTAAGAACTTGACTCCATCCAGGATTGGAGCGAGTCTAAGCGATAAAGTCCGGAGCAAAAAAGAGATTCATCAAGAGACTAGCCAGGAGAACCCCAAAGCGCAGTCTGAGGGGAAGGTAACTGCGAAGGAAAAATGCAACTCCAAGGACGAGGAAAATGCTCAGGACGAGAATGAGTCGGTTTTGTAAGATCGGACTGGCCATGATGATGATGCTCCTCAACTCATACTTACCTATTTCATTCCTTGTGTTTTAAGTTCAGTCTTGATATGAAGCCGACATGTATCTTTTATGCGAGCTTCAATCAACTCCAATTTTTACTCTGTGGACTTCCAATAAGTGTGCCGTTGTATACGAGGTTCAATCGATATTTTTACTCTGTTTGAAGCCAACACACACTTCTGCGAACCTTGATCAACCTGTTACACATGAAGCTGACAGGCAAATGTACAAAAGTTCGTTCGAAGAAATTGATACGCTTTCTTCTAATTTAACACGCACTCCGTTATAAATGGACATCAATTTCCTACATCTGTGAAGTCAACATGGTGGACCCAGTGCCCTGTCTGTTAGCCAGCCAGTCAACCCGGGGGATCTTCACCATCCCAGGCCAGTCAGGCCCATCTTATGGTTTTGCTTCTATGCGGGAAGCCGAGGATTCTGTTGACGAGACCATAGTAGCTCCCTCTTTGTTGATTGATAAGTCAAGCTCTCTTCTCTTCTCATTTTGCTCCATAGTAGTCAGATCATAATCAACTACCATGATCTTACTTCAACTTCAATTCTCCTTCCCGGTTCGATATCCTAAGGTCGCCATTGGAAGAACGGATGTGTCCCTCAGTTGCGGGTCGAGGAAATGTCTGCCGAGATCGAAATCACCGACATCGCGTGGAATCGCCGTGCTTCCACTCCACTCGAGTTCGGCACAGTCAATCTCAGTGACACTGGGGCCGTCGGAGATCTGACAACAAAACAGGGCATCACGTACATCCTGAACTTGATGAAGGGCAGAGTTAGCCTGATCGAATTGGATTTCTTAAGAGAAATTCTCGACCCTTAATCGCCTTTCCACGGAAAATGTGCATCACCAGACTTGCCTGAATCACGTTGCCATACCTCTCGTGGGGGCGATTTGAGGCTGCCGTGGTCTTAAGTGCTCGATGGAGGTAGGTTGGCAATGAAATCTTTTCAACAGAACCTGCAAGACACGTAGTTGGCGCTACCATATTTTTGCACACTTTTCACGGCCTGTTCTAGCTACAACCAGAATAAGAGGAGATCTCATTGGAGATGGGCACTCAAATACACGTCGAAGGACTTCAAGGCTTCAAAAAGGACAAGGCCACACACGTGGCTGACTATACGATCTAGAAATCTTCCAACGCGGTGCTTTCAACAATTCAACGTTGATGGTGATCAGAGCAAAAAGTCTTGGGCAGCATGGCAAGGCACTTACACCATTTTCAACAATTGTACAGATCTTCATTGCTAGATCGAGAGAACAGCTTGTGTTTCGCAATATCTCCAAAGGCTATCAATGGGAAAGTCCAGGCAAAGTTGTCCCAATATTATACTCGGGTTCCAAGTGTTAGAAGAATGTAATTTTTTTACAGAAGTCAAAGAAAACTAGGATTGATTCAAACTATCTAAAGCCAGGGGGCTGTCCCCAGCGAAAGGTTCAATGGTTCAAGAGACAAGACAAACAAGCAGACCGAGGTCATACTTGCAGAGTGGAAGTATCCGTCTCAGGAGATTCAACCAATGAATCATGATCTTGAAAATGCCCTCAGAGTTCTCTTCATGGGACAATCAGAGTGCTGTCTCTGGTGAAAAAGTTCCAAAGATTTGTTGATGGCGTCGGTGGCCACCGAAGGATTCAGAGAATCCTTGCAGATTTGCCCTCAGAAGTACTTCTTCGGGACCCACGTGTATCCTCCGCCTCCCATCTCGTAGGACGATATCGATAGCCCCGGTGGGTGACTGTCCTATGTATCCTCCCCCTGTCTGCCATCGGAGTCCTCCCCCTCTGGGACGAGGCCACGCCGGGTCTCAGATAGCCCATCCTTCACATCCCCAAAGACGTGATACGCTTGCGCGCAATCAGACGTCGATGGATGCCCTCAGAGTTCTCTTCACAGGGCAAGGTCAACTCGAAGGTTGTGTCAAGGATTGGTTGACAGGTGTACCTGTGAAAGGAGCAATTTCAGTCGTGTCAGTCATGTGTTGTCTTGTGAGTGAACGGGGACTTGTCAATGATTTTTTCGGTGTCACAAAAAGACTCCTGGTCCAATCAGAGCATGCAAGCATCGACGTTGAAAGTTCCATCAATGGCAAGCGTCGGAACAGGAGTCTCATAGTGAAAAATTTACCCTTAAAGGGTTGTCTTGAGATTTGGCTTCAACCAAAGGCCAAAGGCCAAAAGAGATGAGGGTGCCTAATTTACTAAAAGTGTCAACCAATTGTCGTCTCATGTGCAGGAAGAACGTACCCTAGATATTCCAGGTATACCGCAAACTGACTGATGTCTCACACAATTCCTGTGTCCAGAGAAGATGTCAGAGAATGCATGTATCAGCACAGTGTAGTATGATGGGGAAAATCATCAGAGCAAGACCAACAGGAAAACACTCATAAAGTCTGGGGGAGGAGGGGAATAAAACACCAAGAGACGCAAGACTCAAGGCACTATTGAATGGGTTGCAGAGAAGAAGGTATTAGACACAGACCAGGACAAACAAAGGGTGTTCCTCACAGGATGGATAGAGGACAGATGACAGAGGATAGGGGATAGGGGATAGAGGGGAGAGGGGAGAGGGGAGAGGGGAGAAGAGAGAGGGGAGAGGGGAGAGGGGAGAGGAT